GAAAATAGGAGAATAGAAGAATGGAATATCAGGAGACTCATATTCTTCGGGTCGCCAGCCAAAGCAGAGAGGTGGTGTATAACCTTTCTAACCGGCTTCTACTCTCTATTTCCCTGTACCTCTGATTCTCCTGATCTTCTGTTGTTCTATTCACTCGATCTCCCGTTAAATTAGATGACCAACTGACATCTGACATTTCCGGAGGTTCACTTTTCCTCCAGCCGGTGAATTCTTTTCACTTTTGCATATTCTCCTATTCTTTCAAAACCCCGACCATCGACGCAGTCAAAACAAGACAAAAGGAACCTCACGTCTTGGCAAATCATTGGGATTTCGCGCTCAACGTGTGGACCGGCCCGGGTCAATTGTCGGGTGGGAATTCCCCAACGAGGAGGACACGTATTGTGATTATGAGGAAGGAATCATATTTTTGGAAGACATGGGAGCAGCACTTTGTTTGAACCGCGCTCGCCACTCGATGCACTTTTTTTGGGGAGGAGTTCCAGTGCATGAGGTACTGTCAGGATCAAGTACTGCTATGGCGGTTGGTGGATGAGAAGGAGACCCCATCCAGAAAAGGGATAGATCAGCTGAAAAATTTCTCATCGTGACGGACGACCCTGTTTGAACATACAACGAGCCTCTTTTATAAAGGTTTCCGAATGTTTGCGGATGCTTCGTTTCTTTTGTCGAACTTCCTAACTACTTATGACTGATTTGTAAATTCGACAAAGAACTTCGCCAGTGACATACCCATCAACCTATGCACATATGGTGACCGTAGAAATTCTATTCCTTCTGCAGCCTTCGAAAAACAATGGATCGGTGGTTGATCGTTTCTCTAACAGTGGTTCTAATGGTGACAATGATAGAATGCAGTTGTTTTGAGAACTGGAGTCGTTGCAACACACAAGCCAAGGTGAGGAGTCATGTTTCGTTAAGCGTATCGTTGATGGAACCGGGTCGCTGGGGTGACAGGACGGGAAGAGCGCACACGACCTGACCTATGGGATTCCCCCTGATCCGACTTAGGGCAAAGAGCAACCAGCCACTGAGACGTGATGAGCTTCAAAGAGCGACCATTGGCTACCCACAGCATAGGGATCACTTCAGGTAGTCCCGCCGTAGGCGAAAAGTAGGCGAGAAAGGTGAAGACAGAATGTGCGCGAGAGAGTTCTCCACATGAGAGAACACAAACACAACCCATATTGCGAACTAAGAACATGGCCACAGCCAGGCCCTGGTTCCCTTGTCGCGCACTTTCCAGCCGCAAGAACGGCACACCTGCAACTTACTGACCGCTCTATTCT